GGTTTAGAGTACAGTGTGAACCCATTCACTGGGGTTAAATTTGGGGTCCTGCATCACCCTAGCTCAGGGTGGGCAATTGTGGCTCTTTTACAACCTGTGGACTTCAATTCCCAAAATTCCTGAGACAGCCAAGCTTGGCTATTTCAGGAATTCTGGGAGTTGAAGTCCACAGGTTGTAAAAGAGCCACAATTGCCCACCCCTGCGCCTAGCTAACCATAGCATATTCCATAAGCCATGTTCAAGCATATCATGGTTTAGCCAGCATTCTACTTCAAGAGCAGGGAGAAAAATGATGTTTGTACCTGGGACATCTAAACGATTTTCTCTGGGAATTGGTCTTCTTTCTTCCACTTTTGGATGTTGAGGTTCTGAGAGTTCATCCTTGCAGCAACTCCAGGACATATCCGTATGTTCCCAGTCCTTCAGAGATAAGTCCTTATTTTCTGAGCAGAAAAGAACCCCTTTGGTCTTCTGATAAGGAGCTATCGTCTAGGGAAAAATCACTAACTCCCAACCCCAGGGGAGGGTTCCTGGAGACTACTGCTTCACACTTCTTCTGGATAGCCTTGACATTCTTACTGTGAATGGGGATATGCAGCTTTTCCAGCCTAGAACAGAGTATAGAAAAGTGAGACATAGGGCAGCTAGTGACTCCCAACGCTAGAGAATACATTCCGCTCAAGCCTCCCATGAAACAAACATTGTTTGAGAAGGCAAATGCTGGAAAACTCCATTCTTTCTCCTGAACCAAAGAATATATCGCTTTCTTAGAGTTCAATGTTTCTTGCCTTTATTGTGGGCCCCTAAACAGTTGCTTTATTTACACTAGTGTTTCTCAATTTTGGTACCTTTAAGTTTTGTGGACTTCAACTCTTAAGAATTCCACAGTCACATGAAGTCCACATATCTTAAAGACATTGAAGTTGAGAAACATTGATTCAGGTTCTGGTCATCCAACACACTGAGCCCCAAACTAGGCAACCATATTTTAGCCCAACATGTTATGTAATCATTCAGCCTACATGATTATTTTAGAATTCAAGTTGTCACACAAATTCCCAAAAGGAGGTTCATTTAACACACACTGTGAAAAATTACACAAACACAGCCCAAATCTTTCTCAGCTGCACAGCAAAGGGGCCTGGTTCTATACTTAAGGAAAGTATTAGTTTGAGAAAATTGTAAAGGTTGTTGAAACTAAAAATTGAGGGGGGGGGAGAGAAATGATACAGTATTCCATTTTATCCTCACAACTTCTTCTGAGATAGATGAGCTGAGATGGAACAAACTAATGAACATGATTAAGTGGGAAATACAAACCAGAATCTCCCTATCCAAGTCCAAAATTTTAAATATTACTAGAGTAGTTGGCTCAATGGTGGGCTGGTCTCACAGAGCAGAGTGTAATACAGTGAGTAAATAAAGAACTAGGATTCAAAAGCTTATATAAAATTCATCTTACACCCCCAAATTTGTAATGTTGCTTCCTTCCTTCCCGTGCTCTCATTTGCTTTCTTGCTTTCTTCCAGAAAGCGTCTGCTGATATTTTCACTTGGACCTGGATAAGGTGAGAATACAAAGTGAAATAAAACTGTGATAAAACAGGCTTTAAGATTGAGAAGCATGTAAAATACTTGTGTATCACTATGACAAATACGAATTGTATGTTATTTCAGATTATTTTAAAACACTGAATACAATTACAGAGATATGTCAAGACAGGAGAAATTACAACTGCCTTTGTTAGCAAGAATTTCTGCGATTAAAATGAATGTTTTGCCTAGAATGTTCTTTTGGTTTCAGATAACGCTTGTTTTATCTGAAATGATGCAAGGCAGAAAGATATACTGAATCCAAATTTGTATGATGGAGGAGGAAACACCTCCTTAAACATAAGATATTACAAGACATGAAGGAGAAAACATTGGGTTTACCTGATATGAAATTGTACACTGTGGCTTGTTGTTTGGTTTAGATAGAATTAGTTTTGCTGAAAATTTGTGGAGTTAGAAGAACCTCAGATTTTGGTGGCAGTAATTGTTGGTACAATTAAGTTAAATTATGTTAGATACACCATACTGAGAATATGGAATAGATACAAAGTTTCCATGTTTTTTCCAAGCAATTACGGTATCTAAAGTCTGATGCTTAGTCAAGAATAAAAATAGTTTGACAGTGATTAATACATCTATGTAAGTAATGCTTCTTAGTCTTGCATTATTATGAAATCACAGACCAAAATTACTTCCAGAATAATTAGTACATTATGAAGTTAGGCTCCAAGAATATCATCCCTGGAAATTGGTAACACAGAAGATAAAAATATCAAATACTTACTTCCTGAAAGGAGCTCTGGCTATCTGACTTATGAACCAGCAGGGAAAAGTATCACAATGGAGGCCATGTCACTGTTACCTTAGCAACCTGTCTCAGCCATAAGCATTTTTATAGCTTTTAATTCTTTCAGCCTGTTTTATTTACCCCCTTGCTTCTGAGATGAGCTAGAATTGCTTGGCTGTTCAGTGTTCAGTTTACAGAACTGGGAGGTCATGCCATATAATGGGAAGGGCTCCATAAAATAATATATGACAGTGCCCATACACCAAGAAAAACCACAGTGCTGTTTTTGTATCATCAAGCTCTTTTTATATGTGATAGCAACACATATCTTTCTAGGGAAGGTTATATGTATGCATAAAAGTTGGGAAATTTTACTCTTGTACTATAGTGCTCTAGTTATTACTGATTTGGAGACCTGCTCTGTCAGATATTATACAAAAGCTTCATAGTTTGATTTGGTGTATCACCACAGGAGCCAACTCAATGCATGTTCAGGAATGGGCTGCAAAATGATAGCCCCCTTCCAACTGTTGCTTCTATCAACCAGCATTTAAAGCACAATACCTATAATATAGAAAGTAGCTACTAGCTAATGGTAGCCTTATCCCTAAAACTGTGCCACTGTTGCTGACAATGAATTCCAATTTACTATTTTCTTCTGTTGGTCCTCTATCTCCCTGCACTTAGTTTCAAAGAGCATTATTAGGAACAACCTAATTCCACATGGAAGACTCTCTTGTTCTTGGCTCTTCATAAGAGTATCAGCTTCAGATTTGGCAAATCTGGAGAATTTGAATTATGAAAGAGAAAATAGAATTAAACACAATCATCTCTACAGTTAATCCACTTGGGTTGCCATAGCAAAATACAGGATTCAGTACTCTCGCAATCCATATATGTTCTCAAAAGAGTTTAGTCATAGGCTCCCTGGCACAGAATATACAGCGAATGCAAGGGAGAATTTGAATAAAAAGTGTGCATTGCACAAAGTAAGCACTTTATATAAACTGCCTGTCTCCAGAATATGCAACCTTTTACAGAATGCTTTAATATATCGCAGCATTTCTCAGTATGCTGGCTAGGGAGTTTTGGGAGTTGAAAACCAGGCATCTTAAAGTTGCCAAGGTTGAGATACACTGATAAAATGTCTAGTTGGCCTTTTTTTTCACTTAAAAGAGCTTCAGTTTAACAATCAAATTTTATTTTATTTTTAGACATGTGGAAGTAAGAACTGTTTACTTTTAGTCAGCAAAATTTTTGCAAAGTCCTTAGTATAACCTACTATCAGTTCTCTACTTCATGGGTCCATTATATATACCTGCAGTTACTTTTCATGATTTCAGCATTTAAATGCATAAATAGGAGTTACATTCCCCGCCCCTTTTTTGTCACCATATTGTTGATTGGAGAAATCTGAAAGTGGTAAATCTTCAGCTCACTTAATGTGGACTCAGAAATCTGAATAGGCTGCTAACACTATGGAGGTGCAAAGGTCTAGATTTGTACATGGCAGATTAGAGTTTTGTGTTACCAATTCTAATCCAATAATTTTAATTTATTAACTCCTTAAACAACTAGGGTTCACCTCTTCTCTTTGCCAGACTTTGGTATAAATTGGTTGCTAACCTTCCAGACAATACCTGGCTAGATGACTCAGTGGCTAAGACACTGAGCTTGTCGATGAGAAATGCTCACTTTTCATTGGGTTCACGGACCCCGCCTTCTATCTTCCTATTCGCAACGTTGTAGTTCTTCTCTTTAGTTTGCCGTGATGAGAGTGTTGGAAGGAAAAAGTAGCCTTTCCCTTTAAGGATTGTTGGAAGGCTGAGCTTTCGCTTCTTAAATTCAAAACTCCCTGCTGGGAGAATACTTCGAAATGATTGGAGGTCAGCTGCTTGAGAGCAGAATTAGTTTATTGTTTATAGGAAGGCAGGCAAGAAACAAATACAAGCACAGCGTTCCGAGGCTAGCCTGTTTGCACTGTAAGAGTAACCCTTTTTTATATCCTAAAACGTCTTTTGATTTTCTATGTGACCCTTTAAAGTCTTTTGAAATTCTTTTGATTTGGCGTTTGAATCCTTTGATTTGTGTGTGTGCTTGTTTTATGGTGTTGAAATCCTGTTTTTGTTTGTGATTGGATTCTTCCATCCTGGATCTGGCAAATAAATAATTGTTTTATAGCCCACTCTCTGTTTTTCCCAGCCCTTTGTAGTTGTTCGTTCCCTATAATTATTCAGCTTGCTATTTCTGTGTTTTCTCCTTTTTCTCATGTGTTTAAATTACTTTGGCTTGATTTCTTTTCCTTTTTGGGTGTTTGTTTTTCTTTCCTGTGTCCCATATCTGCAGGCCCCTGTAATTTTGTCCTTCCTTTGTTGTGGAAAATAGGGTGGCTTCAGCTTCTTAATGGCCCATTGATAAAGGTGGGGGCTGAAAGTCTGCCTGAGTTTCTGCTTATTTCTTTTAGGGGAATTTCCCTGCTCTTTTCATACTGAGTTTCTCATATCTTCCAACAAGAGAAAGCAGACGGGAGAGGGATTGAATACTGCGGCAATATTTCTAATTGGAGTTTAGACATTTTTCCCCGCCCCTCAATTTCTGACGAGTGAAGGTAAAGACAGCTTAGAATGTTAGAGTCTGCTGTTCGCGCATGCGCTCTGTGGGTGAAATGTGTCCTTAATGTTTAGGTTCAGGGGTCTTCTGTGGCTTCGGGCTTGGAATTCAATCATCCCTGGTAGTTCTGGTCAAGTTCAAAAATCTTCTCATGCCATGGATTTAGGATCTCTTCGGAAAAACTACAGGGGGGATGAAGAGGTGAGACATCTCGATGTATTTCAAGGATTCCGCATAGGGAAAATGCAAGCAAGGGATTGGCGACAGCCTCTGAATTTGTGCAAAGTGCGTGGCGTTATTTACAGCCGTAATCCTGGGATCTGCTCTCAGGACCGATGCTTTGTTCTGCCAAAAATAACAACGGGATACTAAAGATGATGTTTTACAAAGTACCCTTATTTTCTTTAGTGAGAGATCGAATCTCGGGAATGCTTCTGCTGGATAAATGGGTCTCGGGCGCAGGATTTCAGGATCGCATACAACCATTTTATAGTTTTGCAATAGTAAAATAAACAATGAGATGAAATAATTAAAGCAAATGCTGTGTGTCAAATTAAAATGGCTGAAAAATATGTATCTTTCAAATGTTTGGATAGGAGGTAGCTCCTGAAACTAAGTACTGAAGTTTGCTTTTTACTTAAAATAAGAGTGAGATGGTTGGATCTCAAATGTGTACAGATCGAACAGGGATGTATAAGTGGAAATGTTTGAGAACAGTTATAACCCAAAAAAGGCAGCAATGGAATAACTGCAGGTTGTGATAAGAAAAGCTAAAGCTGGAGCAGTGGTGCCGCTAGATAATTTTAGGTTTGGGACTGAATAACTTATAGGAGAGGAGTCTTTAAACAGCTTTGTGCATTTTTTTTTCTATTATGAAGGATTCAGTTCCCCTTTTCCTTTCCTTGTCACTTTACAATTGCATCTATGTTTCTCTTGGTCAACAACAACAAATTTATATTGCTTCGATTTTTATTACGGCTTTTTTCATATACAACTCAAGGTGACAAACTTACCAATATTCCATTTTCCTCTTATTTTCTCCACAACAAGGCTATGAGATGAGTTTTACTGAGAATGACTGACTCAAAGTTGCCCAGCCTGTTTTCATGCCTAAAGCAAGAATAGTTAGTCTCTTAGATTCTAGCCAACACCTTAACTACTACAGCAAAGTCTTGTTTTCTTGTAGAAGGTGACATTATAGAAAATTATAGAAACCTGTCAATTGTAAGGGGGGGGAGCAGTTCAGATTTTTGATATCTCGACATCACTGGAAAGCATGTACTGCATCAAAATAGAAAAAGCAATAGGAATGGATGAAAGAGGATGAATCAACCTCATTTCAAGGAAAAGGAAATTGGTACTTGAGATTGAAAGGGATTGCTAAACACACTTGCTTTCTACTTCTACCCTTCTAGGCTTTTGAGGAGAAACATCTCACCTCCCTTAATCCCATTCAACAATTCTCTGCATGGTTTGAAGAGGCCCTGAAATGTCCATCCATTGGAGAAGTCAATGCTATGTGTTTAGCCACTTGTACCAGGTAAGGTTTGCATCCTCATGGCTTGTCCTTCTGCTGATTTGTTATCTATCTGTGTTTTTATATTTCTTTCTGTTATCTGATTTTTACATCTTCTCAGGGAGGGGAGACCTTCTGCTCGGATGCTGCTTTTGAAAGGATTTAACCAGGAAGGTTTTCTTTTCTTTACCAACCATGAGAGCCGAAAAGGAAGGGAACTGGTGAGTGTTGCCTTATGAAGAATGATTATTAGAGAAAGACTGAAGCTCAAATGCTGAAAGTCTTAGTTATGTATAAAAATGATCTATGCATTGGGGACAGGGATGAGGAAGGGAAGCAACAAATTAGTCAGAATTTTATTCCAGTTATTGAATGCAGTTCAAGGAAAAGTGAGAACTTTGCTTATTTTGCATATTTCTGCTTTTGTTAGTCATGATTCCATGAAGAACATGAATGTTCAGCCTTTTGGCTAGCCTGGGCCACATTGAATGAAGAGGAATTATCTTGGGTCGTATATAAAATATATAATATAATTTATATATAAATCACAAGAGCAGCATGGTGGCCTAGTGGTGAAGACACTTGCCTCCCAATCAGAAGGCTGAAAGTTCAATCCTAGGTAGGGATAGATGTTTTTCTCCTAGGGCAGAAAATAAAAATATCTGCTGTGAACTCCATGTAAGCATCAGGGCCTTATGAGGTCTGTGGGTCATGGGTTGGATATACCTGCTCTAGAACCTGGATGGTAATGGTCTTACCAGAGCTTCCCCCATTTGTTATTATTGAAGTTGTGAGATTTATTTATCTTATTTCTATAGTTTTAACAGCCTTTCTGCGGCATGCTGGACTACAGATGCATTGGATCACAGTTCTTGTAATTTCAAGCTTGGCTAGTTGTAATGGGGGTTGTCCAAATGTACTTGAACAACACATAGTGGGGAGCTGTGTTCTGAGTAGGTGCTTACAATGTTAAGAATTTAAATTACTTCTATGGATGTTTGCTCTAGTTTCACAGATGCTAAACTTACTTAAGATGTGTGACAGAAGCATTTAAATATAATAAAATAAGCATGGATGTACTGGCTGGCCAGTGGCCTTTAACAATTGTTGAAAGAAAATTTCCTGTGTTCGTTCCCAGTTAGGAAGTAGTCACCAATGCTGAGAAGAAATAGACATGGAAGCAGCTGCCAGAAAAGGGATCCTTTAATTCAGGAAGGCAAGAAAAGTAGTGACACAGCTCGAGCATTCCTGACTTGCAAGCAAACTTGGAAGTGTGACTCTGAGCCAGGGGTGAAATACTCTTGGTTCGGACCGGATCGGCCGATCCAGTAGTGATGGCGGGTGGTTCGGAGAACTGGTAGCAAAAATCCCTGCATCGCGGCCCCCCCCCCCATGCCCAGCTGAGCCGCATGATCATCAGAGGCTTTTTTTTTTTACTTTTAAAAGCATTTTTTCTACAACCTCTTCGGCCGAAAAAATGCTTTTAAAAGAGGTTGTAGGAAAAAAAATGCCTTTAAAAGCCTCTGCGATCCCAGCTGAGTTGCCTGATCGTCAGAGGCTTTTAAAAGCATTTTTTTCTACAACCTCTTAAGGTTGTAGAAAAAATGCTTTTAAAAGTAAAAAATAAAAAGTTGGCCATGCCCACCCAGTCAGATTACACCCCCCCAACCAGGCCTCACCCACAGAACAGATAGTAACAAATTTTACATTTCACCACTGCTCTGAACCTTTTATTCTTAATTCCCCTTTGAAGCACCATAAATCTCAGTTAACTTCAGATGAGGGAAGCCAGAAATCTTAACAAACATATCACGTGGTTGCATGGAAGACAGAGAGGAAGAGAGGCTTCAATGAATTGACATGTCCACACTAGTGCTGAGTTCAGGCCCAACATCTCCTGTGTCTTTCTGGGTTGTAAACACCCGAAACAAAGAGGCTGCAACGCTATTGGAGGTATCAGAGAAACCATTTTGGTCTTTTGAACCCTTGCACTTTATAATATGTTCGAGGTATCCCTAAACTAACTAGAGCTGACCAAAGATAATATTATTTTCTAACAGCAAGGATTTTCCTATTAGTGCAAAACAAGCAGTTCAGGCAGTTCAGGCAACAAGGAACATCTGAAGAAAGGCAGATAACTAAAGATTATATTCTATTTTTCTTCTTATATTTATTAGCACAAGTCCTCCATCAAAAAAAAAAAAAATCATTTTCTCAGTCTCATTTTTAGAGATTTCAGAGGTGTTTTTTATTCAAAGGCAATAATAGTTTCCCCTCCCAATTATTTTGTATTGCTCTTTTCTACATTTTTTACAGGATTCCAACCCATTTGCTTCAATGGTATTCTATTGGGAGCCTCTCAATCGCCAGGTAAAGTGTGTATTTTTTAATTTTAATATATGTAGCAGGGGAGAGAGAAGACTCTCGTTGTCATACCATACTTTTTAGAAGCTAAAATTTCAGGAAAGGTTATCACAGATCGTCCTTTCAATCGTACCTTTGTAGTTTCACTGTATAAAGTGAAGACTTGAGCAGATGGTTAAATCTTGCTGCAGCCAGTATTTGGTTCCCTCTGATTTATTAATGTGGAAAGTTGACTCCTAATCTTATTAGGGAATTGCATTTGTGTTTCCACAAGACCTGGAGATGGTGATGAGTCTGAGGTATTAATACTTCAGATTGTTTCAGAATTTCTCAGCTTGGTGCCAATGAAATCATCATTTAAGAAAAATATGGGAAGAAACTTCTTTCTCTTTTGATCTGATTGGGGGAATAGAGTAATGATTCTGCTGAATAGAGTAATGATTCTGCTGATTGGATCTAATGTTAATCTTCAGAAAGTGTATGGGACTAAAGAACTTTTTATTTTAACTTCCTTTGGCCTGAAAACATAAGAAGCCAAGAGATAGTATCCATAATTGATAGTCCGGAGCTTTGGAGTATGAATATGTTAGTTCATTTTAGGGAATCAATTTAGAAACAAAGGATATTTCTCTGTGGCAAAATGATTAGTCCTTGAGTTACAACCATTTGTTCAGCAACAATTCAAAGTTATGGTGGTGCTGAATGTATGGTACTTAGCCTGGTCCCTGAAATTATGGAAATTTCAGTGGTCATGTGATCAAACTTTGGGCACCTGGCCACCTGCCTTCACTTATGACCACTGGGATGTACCTTCTCCACCCCTGCACACACCTATCTCTCCCCCATTTCTTTCCTTTTGGTCCCCCTGCACTATACAGCCTCTGCTGCCCTCTACTACACCATCCCCAACTGACCTTCCCATCTTCTTCTTTCCATGCTGACTTGGCGTCCCTGGCTTGGACTGCTTTTGTGAAGCAACTGCTGGCCCCTTCATATGTGGCAGTTTCCTCACAATGCCTGGGGAAGAAGGCTTCACATACCCAGCAGCTTCCTCGCTGAGTGCCTGGTTGGGCATTCTTCATCAGCAGTGGAAGAAGGAAGACAACAAAAGTCATATGGGACTGCAGAGCATAGGGATGCTAGGACTGGGGTTTTGCACCAAACTGTTCGGCTTGGGTAGCTGAGGGTTCACATTAACAGCTTGGCTGAGCTTCGGGGGGGGGGGGGGGGGCAGCTTCTTGGGGCAGCTTTGGCTCAGAAGTGTCTTGCAGCCCCAAAGACCAGGTGGACCAAGAATCCCCTGAACTGCAGTGTGTGACATACAGTCCCAGAGCCATAGGTTTCTGTGGCTGCATTCCACCCTGCAAAACAGGATGCAGATAACCAGAAGGCCAGAGATGGTTAGGGGGAATAGGCAGTTTATGGGGGTTGAAGTAAGAGATGTAGTTCCTTACGTGGGAAGAAGAGAAGGTTGAGGCTGGGAAGGATCAAGCCAGAAATGGTCCGGATTGAGAAGAGTCTTCAGCTAATGACCAGTGGGATTCAGTTAACAATGGCAACAGGGATTCTGCTCTTCCTAAATGATATGGTCATGTGGCATCAAGCTTTATGAGTACAATGATTATTGATGGAAATTCTGGTGCTATTACCATTGTAATTTTTAAGGACTATAAAGATTAAAGTTTGATCTCAATGAGTTTTCCTACTTAATTACCTAAGCTCTGGTGTTCCCTTTTCTTTTAATTCGCAGTAGTGAGAAAACTTGAGGTGAGCTATAATTTTAGCCCTATAGAAATCTCCCTGTCCTGTAACAGAAGCACATCCTTACTTTGCTTCTCTTTCATCCCTTGAACTGTACTTCTTGCAGGTACGGATTGAAGGCTCTGTAGAAAGGCTTCCAGAGCAGGAATCGGAGAAATACTTTCATTCGCGTCCAAAAAGTAGTCAAATTGGGGCTGTTGTGAGCCGTCAAAGTACAGTGATTGCAGACAGAGAGGTGAGGAATGGATAGTGCTATGTTTTTCAGTTCATATTTTTGAGGAAAAAAGGGACAACCAACATTTCTGCCTTTACATGTAGGATTACGATACATTTTCCCCAATCACAAATTCAGTCAGTCTCCTTAAATTTGTTTGCCATGATTCTTTTCATTGTAAAACTTTTATAATAAGAGAGCCAATTTCGTGTAGTGGTGAAACTGTTCGCTTACAAACCATGAGACTAAATTCTGGGTCTCCCATAGGCATTGAAAGCCAGCTCAGTTACTCTGGGTGGGCAAGTCATTCTTCTTCTTGGCCCAACCCCTCTGAGAGAGTTGATGCTGTGGGAAAATAGGAGGAAGAAGTATGGATTTTAAAAAATGGGATAAAAACTGATTATATTAAGCTTGAAGAATTGAGGTAATCCCAAAAGCAAACTGGATAGACATCAAATGGATATAAATGTGGAGTTATTCAGAGTGAATATTCTTCATCAGAACAGTTGAATTACATTTTAAACATCAGTCTATGGAAAAAATGATGAAATCTGAATCACTTTGTGATACAGTTGGTAATCTGACACCCTTCAGATGTTATAACCTAAATAGTCCTTTGTTGGTTGGATGTGATGGGAGTTATATCCAAAACATGAATGAAAGGTTGACTATCTGTGCTTGTGTAGATAGTCACTGTAACTCTGTTATAGGTAATGTGTGGAACATTAGAAAGACAGACTAACCATGAAACCTGCCATAAACCATTGAGAAATATAATTTTTCATGTATAAGACTCCCCCCCAATTAGAAAGCTGAATTTAATGTTGAATTTAATGCAAACAGATTTAATTCTGTTAGTCAGCCTTTCAAAAGTTAAAAATATACCAAGACCTGTTGATAGCACAACATGCTTGCTCACCATCAGTGGCCAGGAAATCTATGCAAAAGAATGAGCACATATATGCTTTTGCAGAGTAGATGTAAGTTCCTCTATGATGGACCACAGTCTTGAAAAATACAGTAAATCTGCACCTCACTAATCTATGAGAGTAGTATGTAGAAGGCTCGGTTAGCAACTAAAATATAATAGCAAGCTTCTTCTTTTTTGCTTGAGGACTTCATAGTACTGTCCCTTCTGTTAGTATTTAAGGAAGAAGAATGCAGAACTAGAGGAGATATATCGAGATGCCAAAGTACCTAAGCCATCATATTGGTGAGTTGGACCTTCATGTGCATTATGCCAATGGGTGTTTCTACTCTGAATTCATCATTAATTCACTGTCAGCAAGAATTCATTGTGGTTTCTGAAACCTGAATGGTTACTGTTTGTTTAGTGACTGTTTAGTTACAACTGCACTGAAAAAAATGACTTACGACTTGTATCTTCATACTTACAACCATTTCCCATAATCAAATCATAGAAATTTGGGTGCTTGGCAACTGGCATATATTTTTAAAGATTTTAGTATTGTGGGTCATATGATTTCCATTTACAACCTTCCCTTCCAATAAGTCAATGGGGGAGAGCCTGATTTTCTTAATGTGTCCGTGATTCACGTAACAGCTGCAGTGATTTGTTTAACAACCTTGGCAGAAAAGGTCATAAAATTGGACATGACTCACTTAAACAATCTCCTTGCTAGCAACAGAAATTATGATCCCAGTTGTGGTTAAGGACTACTTTATAACAATGGATAGCTGTCAACTTTAGCCTGTGACAAGACAAGTGTGGAGTGAAACAAACCGAAATGGCTTTCCATTGTTAACACCACTCATATATATCTCTTTTGATTTTAAGCTAACATGAAAAATTGTGCCATAGCCATTCTCTTGGATTGTCATTTGGGTATATGTGTACTTCCTAGATAGAGTCCTCAACTCCATATTTTTGCAATTCAGATTCCACTTCAGAGGAAGCTACAAACTTTTATAATTATGTCAAATTAACATATCTTATTTATATAACTCTGTCATTTCTGTTTTGCATAATTTTATGCTAGCCATAAGAGAAGTATAAAAACAAATTCCAATTTATTCTAATTCATAAGTAAGCATGGCACTGACTGTCATCTCTTTCAAATATTTTTTTTTTTCACCACAGGGACCAGAAAACTATTTTATTTCAAAATAGGAATTTGAAGTTAATGGAAAACTGAGTTCTATGCTTAGTGCAATATTCTGTGTCCAGCAATACAGTCAGTGATTCTTGGATAGATACTATGTTTTTCTCCAGGGTTCCTTATTGTCATTGACAAGTGTTTTTGTGAGCCATGCCTCTAGTTCTCACTCTAACGATGAGTGAGAAAGTAATATTGTCCTGGCTTGATTTTATTAAGTTAAGACCAATTATTTTATGAGGCTTGCCCTTTATGCCATGGACAATCTGCTGACTGAGTGCAGACTTTGGACTTTTTTTATGCTTCTCCCTCCCTCTACATTCTTTTCCTTGCTACTTTAGCTGTTATTGAGTAAGAGACTACAAAATATTTTCCTTAGGATTGCCAAGAGGGGTAATGCTGAAATATCTATTCTTGTCCAGAGATTCTGATAAGATGGCCATTTCCTCCCTGCTTATGTCCCACCTCTTGGCCCATCTCTGTTAAAAGGAGATAAGTTTTCCCTGCTTGAACCAAGGACGACTTTGTGGGCATATTTATTTGGCCTTCAACCAGTGGTGGGTTGCCCCTGGTTTGGACCGGTTCGCAAGAACCGGTAGTAAAACCGGCGGGAGACTCCACCCACTGCCCCAGATATCATAGCGATCTGCGCATGTGCAGAAGCTTGGCGCGCGCGAGAGTGAAGCGAGCGAGCGCGATCCCGTTGCAAACCGGTAGTAAAGGTAAGTAGAACCCACCGCTGCCTTCAACCCATTGTCTTATTGGATGTGACCTTCTGGCCTGAATTGTTCAGCCTAGTCTGGACTTGTAGTTTGTAGATCAGTCTAACTTTTATTGTCCAGCAACTTGCTGTGGTCCTCTTTTTTCCAGGGGAGGATACATCTTAAAGCCAGAAGTCATAGAGTTCTGGCAGGGCCAGACCAACCGCTTGCATGATCGCATCGTCTTCCGATATCTCCAGGACAGCAGCACATCCTTGGACCCTATGACTCACAGAGGGGAGGGCAATTGGGTATATGAGAGACTCTCTCCTTAAACAGCTTGCAGGATTTGTCTTTAAACATACATGGCAACATCTCTGATCCCAACCCTCCCCGAGACAGAGAAGATGAAGAACCAAGAGAATAAGATCCTGGGTCTGCAATAAGAAGGCCTGTATTCAGATTTCTGCCAACCATAAGTAACTTTGGACTAGTCCTTAACTATCCACCTATTTCATGTCACAGTTTTTGTGAGGACAAATTGAGGGTTTCTTCAGTGCAAACTATCCTGAGGATGTGTAAGAATGGCGGAATCTTAATGAAAAGGATTTAATTCTCAACAAACATAAACACACGCACCCAAAAAAAATACTTTCCAGAGATGGGGAGTAGCACTGGTGGGTGAACATAACAGAGTGGCCTAGTTTTGTAGTTTATATTTTGCAGTTAAATCTATAAAATTCTGCACTCAGTTTTAATAATTAAATAGATTGGATTTTGTTTTTGAAAACTTCATTACATTATCTAGGATATTTAAAGCATTCTGTACTAGAGAGGCAGTTTGATCTAGTGGTTAAAGTGGTTTCTGAGCCAGAAACTAGGAGAAACTAGTTGGTGACTTGGCGCTAGTCACTTTTACTCAGTCCTAGGAAGAAAGCAATGGAAAAAACATTTCTGAAAATGTTGTCAAGAAAAATGCATAGACTTATCCAGGTAATTCCTGGAAGTCAGGATTTACTGGAAGATATTAAAAGAAAAAAAAATCATTTCTATAGCACTTGCACAAAATATGTCTTTTGACTCAATCCAGCAGTTAAGATGCATTGCAAGCAATGTGGACTCTGGAGCCATAATTAGAACTAATGAAAAAACAAGCTCAGATCATCGGTGCCAAATGCAACAATTGGCATTTATAAAATAAACAAGACTATAACTAGCTGTAAACATAAGAATATCAGGGGTGGGAATCACAGCTGAAAGGTCAGTCTTTTTGCTCTGAACTTTCACTGCCTGTGTTTTTAAACTTTTCAACCTGTAAAATGAGATGGTTGAGATAATCAAATCCCTTCTCACTAGAATTGCTGAAGATTGATCACAGTTTCCTACCAGTCTGAATTAAGAAATATATACACGCACAGTAATATAAATTCAAAATAGGTATAGCATACTTTTAAAAAGATAAATCTTCTCAAACCTAGAAAAAGCAGGAATTTCCAACTTTGGCAATATATGTGGCATGTTTGTGCGTTTTGCATCATTAGCCTGCCACCCGTAGTCTTCAGTTTTATTAGAGGTAGCTGTTGGCCACTGACAGTTTATTCAGCTGACTATGGTTTAGAAGAGAGATGCTTTCTTAAAAAATAGAGGCATTGAAAAGTGAAAATGGATATTCAATTTCTATAATTTCTAGTTCTTCTTTGGAAACAATATGCAAAGATAGAACTTGCATCTCTGCTTGCATTATGGGAGAAAAAATGTGTCCCATCTGATTCTATCTGCAAATCATACAGATTGTCCTCGACTTAAGACTTTAATAATGTTTCAAAATTATGACAGCCTTAGAAAAATTGACTTATGATCTGTACTCGCACTTAACTGCCATCCCACCACCCCCAAGTCAAATAATTGCAATTCAGAATCTTGGCAACCAGTTCACATTTAAGACTAATGTGGTCACAATTGCAATTTGTGCTCTCCCCCCCCCCCCCATTTCTGATAAAATGCACCCATTGGAGAAGCTGGATTCTGTAATGACTACTGTAAAAATTATTGTAAAATTGGGTCCTACTTAACCTACATCCACAATGACTTACAACAAAAATTCCTGCCCCAAGTGTAGTTGTAAGTTGAGGACTATTTGTGTTGCATCACTCAGAGTGCTTTCTAAGCCCAAGAGTTTTTCATTGATGTTGGAAATTACAACATGAAAGGTGAGCCTCATTTTCTGAACAGTTGTGTTCAATTTGCATAGGAAAATTAGAATCACAATCACTGAATCCAGCCTGTAATAATAGTTAACAAGGAAATCTGCTGCTTTTGTCTCCAGATACTTTTGTCTCCACTATGATAAGCACTGTGTACGCTTTTGTTTTCAGAAATGTGATTCTTTCATACTAGAACTGGATGTGCCAAGTTCTACATCAACAAGCAGTTATTGTGGATCAGAAACGGGGTTGTGTGCACTTTGTGTTAATGTTATTTGTAAAAAAATATTTAAGTGGTGTCATTACCTTAATAATTGTTGTTCTGTCTGACTGACCTATCTTTGTGCTCTTATGTACTTAGTTGATTCTGTGACTATGTACATTTGGACAATAAAAGTTAGTGAATGATAGTTGAAGGTGAGCATAGTTTAATATTAACTTTGTCCTGTTTTATTGCTTTCTCAATTTTCTCAGTACAGTAGGATGTCTTTCTGTATTTCATATGCTCTAAGATGGATTTGGACATTTTATGGCCCATAGGTCACATCGTCCCTTTCACTGAAGCAGGGAAGGCAGAAGTAGCCCTCCACAACCTGTTTCTCATGGGGCCTGTTGGGAAAATTAATTGCCTACCTCTGCTCTAAGACTTTACATCAGCCATACTCCCAACTAAACTCAGCTGGATCAGCTACTATTAACAATATTTTTTTTGTTTCCTTTCTTATAATAGAGCAATATTTCTAAACCTTGGAATCTTTTAAGATGTGTGGACTTCAACTTCCAGTATTTCCCAGCCAGCATACTAAGAATATCAGATTCATATTTTAGATATCCATATTCTAAAAACATTTGCCTTTCTTACATTTTTAACTAGTATCATTTTCACAAAATTTTCTCCAGAGAAAGGCTCAAAGGTAAGGTGTCTTGTCCATAGAATGCCCCAAATTTTGGGTGAAATCCAATCCTAGATTTCTTCCAAGAAAAGAAGACCTAGAAGCTGGTGAAACTAATATTTCTATTACAGAGTTCTGGAAAAATGCTGCTAGTAAGAATAAGACAACATTGGAGCAGAAGGATAAATGGTTTTACCTAAAATAAGTAAGCTACTTACATTCTAAAGCAGGGGTGTCAAACTCATGTCGTCACGGCAGCATCACGTGATGTATTGGGGCTTTTTTCCTCGTTGCTAAACTAGGCATGGCCAGCATATAATGCAACTGGTCCGGGAGTTTGATAGTCCTGTTCTAAACAGACCTATCTATCCATTGATCTATCTACTAAGGAACAGTCTTAGAATCTCAGCAGCACAATAGTTCTAAAATGTCAGGCAGCTGATAGAAGTTACCAGTTTTAACTCCTGGAGGATGCAGCCCAGGGGTGAGTTCTAAATTTTTTTACTACCGGTTCTGTGGGCATGGCTTATTGTGTGGGCATGGTTTGGTGGTGGTGTAATGCGACTGGGTAGGCGTCACCAACTTTTTTTTTTTTTTTTTACTTTTAAAAGCATTTTTTCTACAACCTTAAGAAGTTGCAGAAAAAGATCAGGCAACTCAGCTGGGATCGCCAGAGGCTTTTAAAGGCTTTTTTTTCTTATAACCTTTTTGGCTAAAGAGGTTGCAGAAAAAAAATGCCTTTAAAAGCCTCTGACGATCCCAACTGAGCCACACGATCATCAGAGGCTTTTTTTTTTTACTTTTAAAAGCATTTTTTCGACCAAAGAGGTTGTAGAAAAAATGCTTTTAAAAGTAAAAAAAAAAGCCTCTGATGAGGTGGGCGGGGTAAGCGAGCGGCGGCCGGGCTGGGGACTGGTTTGGGGGCATGGCCAGCCAATGTTATTACTGGTTCTCCGAACTACTACAAATTTTTACTACCGGTTCTTGCGAACCAGTGTGAACTGGGAGCAACCCACCACTGATGCAGCCACCTCTCCCACAGTTATAGAAACCTATTTGGCAAAGTACAGTATGAAGGGCAAAAATCAAGTTGTTACTTCTAGCTCTTTAAATTGTCTTCTAAGATACATCTAGAATTTGGGATTTGGAACCTGAGAAGGGCAAAAGAATGGAACAACCACAGTGCTTTTTGTGTTCTTGCAGAACGTTCTGAAACTGAGGTCCAAAAAGAAAAATATAGAAAATGGTTATTTTAATACAGATAGTCCTTGACTTACAACAGTTCATTTAGTGACCATTCAAAATTACAGCACACTGAAAAAAGTGACTTATGACCATTTTTCAGAGTTATGACCTTTGCAACATTCCCATGATCATGTAATCAAAATTCAGACGTTGGCAACTGGTTCATACTTATGACCATTGCTGTGTCCCAAGGTCATGTGATCATCTTTTGCAACCTGACAAGCGAAGTCAATGGGGAAGCCAGATTTAACAACCAAATTACTAACTTATCAATTGCAATGATTCACTTAACAACGGTGACAAGAAAGGTTGTAAAATAGGGCAAAAGTCACTTAGCAAATGTCTCATTTAACAACAGAAATTTTGGGCTCAGTTGTGATCGTAAGTCGAGGACTATCTGTAACATCTTCCTTAGAGAAAAGGGTAAAAGAGTGCTTTAAATTTGCTTTCCACCAGGAGGCGCTAGAAGAAGATTTCTAAGGACTGTTCAAGTATCGGTTCTCTTGGGTTGCATCCCAGTGAAACTGCAGCTCTGATAACCTTTTGCCCTTGCTGAGCTTCCGGAATGTATTTGCCTTCTGAGTCACTGCTCTTTTGTTTTCTAATCACGAGTCAGGATCTCTTGCAGTAAGTCATTTGAATGATGGGATTCCCTAAAGGCCAGGTGAGTCCCCTGCTTTGTGGAATGTTCCCTGGATACCTATTTTCCTCTTTAAGCCTGTGGCTTCTTAGCTCATTACCATGTCTGAAACTTGCAAGTGAATCTTGTATTCATAGCAAGGAAGTAAACGCTGCCTCTGCCCATGTGCAGAACAATTAAGCAGCTGAGCAATTGGAAGCAGTTCTCACCTCCTCCATTATATACTGTGGATTGCAAAAGAGGCCCCTGTCTGGCTTCCAACTTGAGCTAGTGCTATTGATTTTAGAAAGGAACATATCGGCTGTACTCTGACAGGTAGGAACACAAACAAACCAATCACTTGTTAGTCTGTGCAAACGCCTGTGGGGTTGGTTTGTGGTTTACAGAGGGGTGTGAACCTTGAGTCATTTGCTGTGATGTCAGCTTTTCCATTGATCAACTTTTTTTCTTATACTAAGCATATCAGAAGCTCACTGGGGAACCTATTTCAAGTTTGAGTCCCCAAGTATTGGGCTACAACAATTTTTCTGTCTTTCCCAGCACTGTCAAGGAATTATCATAGTGATAAGAGATAATGACTTCCCTAATCTGGTAATCTTCATCTCCGCATTTTGAGAGTTGAAGTTCTATATCAGTATTTCTCCTTCTCAGAGTCTTTAAGAGGTGTGGACTTCAACTCCCAGAATTCCCCAGCCAATCTGCTTCCCCAATCTGGTGATCTTCCTTTTGGAATTTTGAGAACTGTGGTTCCTCTATACAAGAGGTGACAAACCTGCATCGTTATGGTGTCATCACATGACATATCATGACTTTTCCCCCCCTTCACTAAACTCGGCATGGGCACGGCCAGCGCGTGATGCATCTGGGCCGCGGGCCGCGAGTTTGACAACCCTGCTATATATCATGATTCTCAATCTCAGAGACTTTAAGAATAGAATTTAGTTTATTCAAGAAAAGTTAAAATACAAAACACCAAAACAAAAAAGAAAAAACACAACAAACATTTAAAAAGTGTCTTGAAAAAAAAATTAACATATTTACACATAATATCCTCCCTAGCTGAATGCTGATTAATATAATACAACAATATTAATCTCCTACCACTTACAAAAAGGCCAAAAGAATTTTAAATTACCCAACTATTAAATCTGTTTACAAATTGTTAGCCTATCATCTATATACTATATCAATAACAAAGTAGATGAAAAGCAATAGTAATAATAATAATAATAATATATAGAAATATAAAAAATAATAAAGATTATTAATAATAATGAAAAAAAGACAATTTAAAATTCCAAAACTCTGTTAACAAACTGTCAATATAATTGACTTGTAGAAAATTTACCATGTTCTTCAATCCAAAATCATCCCAAAATAATTAAACCTAATTGGTCCTGGATCAAATACCCACATTTCTTAATGCCATTTCTTTTCAATTGCTGATTGATTAAATACAATAAATCCAATCTCCAAATCCAATATATCTTCCCCACAAAAAAACCAGATGAGATTTCCCCCCAATTAAATGTAATAGGTTTCCCCATTCTCTTTTGAATCCCTTTAAAAAAAAAAACAATTTTATCACTTATCCACCCAAATCTCAGAGCCTCTGTATGTGGACTTCAACTCCCAGAATGGTTAACTGTGGAATCCTAGGAGATGAAGTCCATACCTCTGCTCTATACCAAGGGAGTCCTATTTTGGAAAGAAAGATTTCAATTATGGGTTGGGAGATGGTACTACATTTTGGGCAAGGATGTAGACTAATCGAATGGCATGAATAGGCTCTTCAAACTGGATTCTATAACTTGGGGTATTTAATGCTTTCCACCCCTTTCTTGATAGTTGATGGGATTAGATGCAATTCAAAAGAAAAAGCAATCTTTAAAAGCCCAACTAATGACCTTCAACCCTATTGTCATGAAATTTGACAGATTTTTTTTTTTTAAAAATCTTATTTTGATAGGGAGGAGGAATCTTGTTTTAATTTATGCCACTTGGAAATTCAATCTGTCTTGGATTTTGACTGTAGAATTCTTCATCACTAAATGTCTGCTTAACAAGACAACTTTGGAGTGAAACTCAACTTTACAAGATTAGGTTTAAAATGTAAAATTACAGTTAAAAAACAGTGACATGTGGTATAAAGATCCCATTTGCCCTTGAGTTATTGTATCCCTGTGTAACTGGATCTGTGAAGCAGAAACACAGGTGGCATTTTACATCTGAGTGGGAGATTTTTAATCAGATCAGGTGCCTTGAATATAAGTGACTGAATCCATTGCAAAGGACAATAATACACTTTAGATTCGTAAAGGATTCATAACTGTGTGTTATTATGAATGAAAGAAAGATTACTCTAAATTTAATTGAAGACAATTCTTCCCACTCCTTGAAAAAGAAAAGCAAAAAAGCTAATCTGTGTGCAATGTATCAGAAAATACAAGAATTTTAGAAGTAAATGGCCAGGCAGTAGTGGATAAGGTGGGGACTCTATGCATTTCCTTTCAAGTAAATACATGGTTAAACATAGTTGTCAGACCTTGGGGTAGTGGCTTGATTCTAACTGAGGGATTGGTCACTGGTGGCTTTTATTTTTCTTTCTAAGAAAACCTTCCAGAAGCTTAATAGTTGTCTTCTCTTAGGATAAGAAATGGCTGTGAAATAAGCTTGCCTAAACCACTGTCTTCGGTAAATGAACAAGAAATAATGTCATTATCCTTATCCAACGTGACCATTGAAAAGCATCATATTGCTGATAGCCTAGATGCTTTTTGATCAAAATAGAGAAGGGAAATAAGTAGGAAGATAATTCCCTATGCAAGTGAATAGGTTCCTTTATAAGCACTGATTCAAAACAGGAATAGCTACATAAAGAGCCTATTTTTAAACACCTCAGTGCATCAATTTCTGAAATGAATGAGCAATAAAGCAGGGATATTTCAGGATGAAGAAAGACTACATTGTATGGACTTGAGTTTTTTACTGGATCCAAGTTTGCCCCAAGGGAAATGTATTTCCTTTATTTCCCACTCTCCTTCTTAACCTTTACAAAATAAGAGATTATTTTGTCCCAGAATGAGCCCATCCTCATTCTTTACTGCATGGAAATGTAGCCTCTTTTGGTTAGAGTTGAGTGAGTGAACAAATTAAAACATATTTTACAAAGCATAAGAAATGACCGGAGCTTGGGTACCTAGTATCTCCTGTATTATAGTGACACAGAATTAGTGCCAGCAGGTCATTGCTTAAAAGGGAAGGTTCCTAGATTGTGCTAAACTATAAACCATGCTCCTAAAAACACTTGGCTTAATCTGTTGCATTAAATTTTGGCAGACTTGTGAAAGTTAGATTATAATTATGCTTAGGGTGACCACAATTGGGCTGTCAAAATCCAAACAACCACCAGAATGTAGCAAAGTCTACAGAATATCTTTGCTGCCATCTGCTTGCCATACAATCCATTTCATTTTTTTAGCATCAGCACTATCCCTCTATGCCATGCCACCCCCTGCCAACTCAGTAAGAAACATACAGCCCTTGCTATTTCTCAGTGGAGAAATTCTGAAAAATTCAGACAGAAATGTGAGACCTGTGTTCACAGAAAAACACTCTATACATTCTTAATTAGACTGATATTTTCTTCCCTTTCATTGTTATAAGAATCAAACCAGTTGTATAGCTATTACAGGATATGATTCCCTTGCCCTCTTCCAGGAATTATTTCACACTTCAATTTCCCTACAGTTTAGGATTTCCTGGCAATATCCTGTTGAAATCCCAACCATGCCCAACTTGGCTTAAGTTTTTGAGATCAGGTAAATTTGCTTAAGTATCACCACCTGTAGATAAATGCAATATTGACATGTGGAGTATAACTTAAGGCAGGACTTGATATTAAGTGTAGACATCCTTGACTATGTTTCCCTTCCTTCTCTTATGTTTGTCCCACTCAATTGCAGAGTCTGCTTGTTTGTACCACAGTTGCTCAGTTTGTACAACAAAGTCATCAATACCTGATGAATATTGTAGGTGTTTTGTTTTTCAGCCAGTTTGTCATAGCCAGCCCTGTTTTGGGCTGAAAGAAATGACTGGCCAAGGTCACCAAGCTGGCTTTTAGAGAGGATTAAAACTGGGTTTCTCCAGTTCTAATCCAGCACCTTAACCACCACATCAAAGGGCTTTCGTACTGAGTCTCTCCATATAATTTTCTTAAATCTAAAGTAGTTCTTCATGGAAATTGTGACCATTCTAGACCAAGCCAAATCCAAAAACATTAGAGAATTCCTGGAAGCCTGGCATTCTGGAAATTGAGCCATCAACAGACTTCAACAACATCTACATGCTGTGCAAAAGGCATAATCAATAGGCCAAAAAAAGGAGCAAAAAGACCAAAATACATCCCCAAAGCAATTGAGGGCTAGATGGGCATAGATTAACACCAAAATTAACATCAGATCAACAGTCAAGAAGTGAACAATATCCCACTCAAAGAACCTCGAAACAAACCAACACCAAACAGCCCCCCCAAAAAACCCCCACCAATGGTTTGGCAGGGCAAGTCAGTAGAATATAAATTGAGAGCACACCCCACTCCCAACTAGCACTGATAATGTTATGGTTTGGTAATGAAACATCTGCAAGAAAATAACCAAGCTCAGAGAGCACCAAGGACCTTTCATTTGAACCCGAGGTACAGACATTCCCTTTTATTGGAAAAAACAGCTGATTTTGGAGTTTGCATTAATAATTCTGATGAAATAGGTCATTTTTTAATTGTTTGCTTAATAAATCCAATTTAGGACAATTGGAATAAATTACATAGCAGGTGATTTTTGCTAGATCACAAGAGAAACTGTTACAGAGTTCAACAAAACTGCTGTTCAAAGTTTATCAAAATTGTAATTTTTACAAGCACAAAATGAGGTTGATGGATGAGTTATTAATGTACCAGTAGTTCTTGGCAGCTAAAGTTCATGTGGCTTGCTAGACAAATTTGAAAGGAAATAGCCTGAAGGTTATTGCAGTAAATGTGGGAAAAGAACAACCTTGAACATATGAAGCAAGCAAATATTTTAAAGGCATTTCTGCTGATTTAGTAGATCAGAATTACAAAATCAGAGGCAAATTAATGTTTGCCATTATTGAAATGACTCATAGCGGATGGAATTTCAGATGTGAATATGGAATAAAAATAAACATTGAGGCTGAATTTATAAATGCATGGGAAAATGTTCAAATCTTCTTTTCAAATATTATTCTTGCTGATTCTTACCTAACAAGAGATATTGGGGAAATTCTGAAGAAGTTATTCTAAGTAGTGTTAAAAAGTTTTGAGTTACAGACTGAGAGAAACAAAAACAAAGAAGTAAGCTATTTTTGTTTCCTTATATTTAACAACACCCTTTCTGGAATATAGCAAATGAATTACAATATAAAGTTCCTATTAACTTTCTGTATAATTCTTCTGAGAAGGAACAGCCAGTCCAACACCAACCCACTCACCTCAGAATTTTCACTGCCACAACAGGAAAAAAAAACCCACATAAGCTATTCAACCTTGGACATACTGTGGTAAAAAATTAGGAAAGATTTGCAAAAGTAGTCTTTGATGAAGTTAATAAAATACATTATACTTTAGAGGAGGACGAAATCTTTTTACATGGAGATTACTGTTCAGTTTGAGCTGGAGGGGAACTTGCTATATACCAGTGTTTTAGTGGACTTCAACTCCAAGAATTCCACAGCCAGTAAATCAGAAATGTTAAAACAATGGAATATTTTAACAGCTTAAAATAATGTAATGCTGCACTAGAAGAAAACTGAAGATCATAAAAGAGAACTTTGTAGTCAAAGTTAGGGGAATTTTAATGGGGCACCAATTCACCTATTACAGTTCCCTTTTTAGCTGGCTTTTTTTCATGTGGTGTTGATATAAATCCCTGATAATCTGTTGAGTCACATTTGGATCTGTTCCAATATAGAGCATTGTCTGAATAAAAAATAATATGAGAAGCTAATGCATCTTAAATATGAATATTATTTATACATTGATATCAGGATGGTGATTTGTATCTGATCCATGTAATTCTGCAGGACAAATCCAGCATTTTCCCCACCTGATGCAGAGCATAAGAGCCTTCTCTTCCCTGTTTATAGACTAGATCCAATAGGTTTTACAGTTAAATTTTTACTTCAAAGCTGGAGGAAGAATAGCAAATTTCATCATAATATAGGACAGCAGACAAGTTTAGTGGGATCCCAAAACAGTATCTCATTTCTCTGTAAATGTGATTAATAAATAAAATGAAACCATATATCTGCCCTCTTAAGAGATCCTACTACTAATCTTAATCTCATAGTGATTCATATATTGTATTAAGCCATAGTTATTGAATAAACGCCTACTGGTTGATTTTGTACTATAAAGCATGGTTTATAAGTTATTGTGTCTTGGTTCAGAGATTGTGTTAAAACAATCACATCACTTAGTGGGTTATATGAAACCTGGCTATTGTTTGAGGCAAGCCATCATTTTGTCTTACAAAAACACTGGCCTTGGGAACATAAAAGTGTGGCCACAGTTTCACCCCATTTTATTTGAGTGCAAGTTCAAATATTTTGGGGACCAGTATCCCCATGACACTACTTATTTGTTGGCCTGCATTAAAATCAGTATCCCTCTTTTTTTGTTAGGGATACAAAACATAAATAGCATTGTATATACATTGCAGTGCACAATATGGATTGAACAACTGGGTTTGTGGACTTCACACTTAGACAGCTCGTGTACCAGAAAACATAATTAAGTACAGGTTGCCCTTGACTTATGATCAGTAGCTTAGTGATCATTCAAAGTTATAATGGACCTACCTCAGGGCTATGTACGACCTGGATTCAAAGTTCCAACAATCATGTGATAGAACTTTGGGTGCTCAACAGCTTGGCCCCATTTATGTTTCTAGGATCTTAGAGTCATATAATTACGTTTTATGATAATTTTGCTGAAAACCAGCATTTACTTTTGGTGATGAATATCTGTAGCTTGGATGGAATGTGAGGGTGGAGGTTCTTTCTCTGAGCTTGTGGATTGGCTTCCAAATGTTTCATTGCCAGGCTAGGTAACTTCTTTAGTGAAATTTAGGGAATTCCATAAACTCTGCTGAAGATGTTACCTAGCCTGGTAACGAAACCAACCCTCAAACTCAGAGAAAGAACCTCCACTCTCATTTACTTCTAAATGAGCCCATAGAAAACCATTGATTTACTTAATGACCATGATGTTTGTTTAATGATTGCCACAAAAAAAGTTGTAAATTTGTATTGGTTATATGATCAACCTGCTAAATGACTGTCAATGACATTATGAACAGGCTTCATTATGTAGTATGTCATAAGTCGAAGACTATACTAAAAATCACTAAAAGAATCTCCTTTGCTTTTTAGTAAATTGGTAAAATGATGCTGTCCACATAAAGTTCAAGAGCCATACTATGATAGGTGCTATTAAGCCAACAGGTTCCAGTCCATTGTTCCAATTATAGATGATTTTCTCTAATCTTCATCTGATAGATCATTTATCTAATCTTCACCTGAAGGCATCCAACAAAGGGGAGGCACTACGTCTCTGAGTAATGGTTCCACTGTCAAACAGCACTTACAATTCAGAAGTAATTTTTTCTCTCATACATATTCAATCAGAATCTCTGTTCCTGTAATTTAAATCCATTATTCAGTTCCCTATTTAATGTTACATGCTGTCAAGTATTTGAAAAACATAATCATAGCTCTTGTTGGTCTCTTCTCAAAGATAACCATCCCTCTTCATTTAATCCAGTGTTTTTCAAATTTGGCAACTTCATGATGTATGGACTTCAACTCCCAGAATTCGCAAATATACCAAGTCCATTCTGGGAGCTGAAGTCCACATGTCTAATAGTTTGAAAATCACTGATTATATCTCACTTCTCAGCCACCTGTTATCCTCATTGCTATACTTTAAAATGTTAAAGATTGCCTGAATCAGAACCCAAAACTAGTCATGGTATTCAAGGTAGAGTGGTCATATCAAATGCAGAACAAAGGGCAGGTAGAATTTTTATTTAAAAACTGTATTTCTGTATATGCTACCTAAAATTATATTTGCCTTTTGGTTTTGGTTTTTTCCTCCCCTCAAGCATATCACATTATTGACCCAAATCCCATATTCAGTTTTTAATTTATTAGTACTGCAATTTGTCCATAGAATTTTTGTTTCCTTAGAAAATAATTTTGCAATCATCTCTCTTAAATAATATTTATATTTTTATTCCATTTCTTTTATAAAAACTACTAAATTTTATTTCCGTTCTGAAAGATATCCTATCCAGTTTTATATCATCAGCAAATTCAGGAAAGCATTCCCTTCGTCTCTTTATCCAAGTAATAAATGATGTTTCAGAATTTAGGACCTAGGACAGTGATGGTGAACCTTTTAGGCACAGAGTGCCAAAACCAGAAGGTGCATGCCCGCAGGCACGCCTGCACATGCACGCCAGAGCACCGGAAACCCGATAACCAGTTGGCCGATGCACATGCACGCCTTGGAAATCCGACGACCAGCTGGCTGAGCTGGGGCGATGGTGTGAATGACCACAGAGAGGACTCTGTGTGTCACCTCTGGCATGTGTGCCATAGGTTTGCCATCACGGACCTAGGATATTGACCCCACCCACATGGTACTGTAGGAAGCCCTCCCTCCCCAAATTAAAATATTCTGTATTTTTAATATTAAAAAGAGGCAGAATATTATATTTCCCCAAGGAAGAAATGCAGAAAAAAAAATCTTAACAAAGGCAAAAAATAGCTCCAGTCTTTCTTAATAGCCTCAAGCAGAAGTCTCAAGTCTTTAGAGATGGATATTTTGTGCCTATTAAGAAAGACTGGGCCAATCTATTCATAAACAAAACACCTTCTGCCCTTATAGCTGATCGGATTAAGAATTTACATTCCCCATTCAAATTCTAAAGACAGGACATGACCTTTAGGATTAACCCACCATCATTAGAATAGCAAAAGACACTACATTACCCAACCCCCCTAGCCTAGAGCATCTTAATCACAATATCCCAGAACCCTATAAAGGTCCATCCATTCACCCAGCTAAGGGGTCAGCCAACCCAGAAACATTGCTGTTGTCACTGAAGGTTCTGGAAACCAAATAAACCTTTCCTTGCAGCCAGTCAGCCTCCATTTTATTTCCAGTGCCATTCTCCTGGCTTAGAACCAGACTGGATTTTTCTTCCTACAGTACCTTATTCCAATTTTATAAGGAACCACTTATTAGTACTCTGAGCTAAATTTTTGAGTCAGGTGTGTAGTCGCCCATCCCGCTCACACTCAAGTAGCATACAAAGCAGAATACGGGCTGTTTTGTAAAGTGCTTTTCTGAAATTAAGTTAAATTACATCTCCAGCATTCCCTCAATCTAAGGATTCTATCCAAACAAAACCATTGTTTAAGTTCATTTGGCAAGATCTATTTTTGACACGTCATGCTGACTGCTGGTAATTATCAGATTGTTTTCAAGTTTCTTAAAAATAAAGATTTGTATGATCTGCTGTAGAATCTTTGCATGTACTGACATCAGATTGATTGGCCTTAGTTATTGATATCTAAAAGACCACCATAGCTTACCTATAAGAAGCAACTTAATTGATAAAAAAAACACTTCCTATCTAAATTTTCTATCATGACGTAGAATAAAACTATATAAGGTGAATGTTTGGATAATTTTCAGTGATGATTAGATTCAACTGTTGTTGATAAGAAAGCTTACAGCAGGGAGGAGGTAGGAAGACGAAAGCAGGTGCCAGTACCAATGAGGCCTATTGGAGCAGCTGCCCAAGTGTGCCAAGAGCTGGGCAGGCCTGAGAGGTAAAACAAACATTTTCTATTTACTCCGATTAGAAGGTTAACAAGGTAGCTAAGGAGGGGTAATTGATCTGAATTTAGCAGTACTGTGTATGTTCCCTCTTCTGTGCTCTACCTCTCAATTTTCCTTTCTCATTTATAAGTCCTTCATAAGCCTGTGTTTAATGCAAGTCTTGCACTGTTTATTTCTTAAATTAAAAAAGAGGAAAACAAAATAAAACATAATGTTCATCCTTTGGGGAAACTTCACGTGAAAATCAGGGCCCGATCCTAGAGTTTCAGATGGCTCCCTCGTTAACTTCATTAGCAAATGTAATGAACCTGATCTGTCAATATCAGCTTCTCTTCAGCTGAGAAATGTCCTCAAAAAAGGGCTTATGAAAAGCATCTCTTTCACTTGGCCATTATTTTTCATCCCGTTCCCCATCAGAAAAGAAATTGGGGTTTTCGGGCAAAGTAGCCCTGATTTTCTTCTTTTCTTTGAAGCGTCCAGAATTGGAAACTTTGACATGTTTCCCTTTGGTGCTTTTGTCCACGATTTTCTCTAGCCGAGCATTGAATTCCTGCTCATTGCGGCTTCCACTGCTCCCATCTGCTGGCATGCCCTCTTGTAGACTCTCATCATTGGCCACTCCATAAATATCTGGACTTTCATACAATACCTTTGGAGTTGATTTTTTCTTTCGGAGGAAGGTTAACTTCCACCAACTATAATTATTTTCTGCCATGGAGCCAACAGGAACGATCAGTCACCCTTGGGAAAAGGAAAAAAAGCACATATCTGTTATGATCTTGTGACATTGGCTAATTCTTTTCCCTTCCATAAATGGTCAATAAGACTATATTTAGAATTCTGAGCTTCATATTCCTCATGTACACATAAAAAAGACCTCACCTGAAATCCCTATTTTCATTTCAAAAATAAATTATGCAAGTTAGATGGATAACATAAGCAAGGAACTAAGAAACTCTTGATCTGTGCCTATGCCCTTAGTACTTTAGAGAAGAAAATGTGTAATACAAATGATGAGGACAAAATCAAATTCCATGTATGTGGGAAAGATATATTTTTTATGTTTAAGGTGCAGTTGTTGAAGCTTCACTTGGAAAGGAGAGATTGAAATTGAGAATAGTTTCTTTACCAAGGTTACCTGTAAAGAATGGAAACTCCTGGGCAACTTTAAAAGACAACTTTAAAGACAACTTTATAAAGCCTACAACTACCACAGTGCTAACATATATTCCTTGCAGCGAGTACCTGAAATGATGAGATGCTGCTTAAAAGATTACTTGGTTTGAATGAATGTCTCCCCCCCACTTTCTTTTCCAAAATGTTAGAAAAACCAAATACTGCATTTAAGCTTTCCCTTTAGAATATGGAGCATCTTTTTCCCCCCCTCTGGTTGTTTTCAGTTGCTTCACACCCTAGTTTTGTTTATCCCTGCTGATGGTAGCAGAGACACAGTATACATACTGTTAAAGTATCAATATTAAGTCAGGAAAAGATTGGATAAAGGTTATCTTATTTGTATACATCTGAATGATCTTAGCTCAGTCAATTCATCTGTGCCTAAATTCTTCCATCTGTTCATGAACTTATTGATATCATTCTAAAAAAAATTAAATGCACTATATAAATGCTGCATTGCGGGTAGAGCAAAGCTCGTTCTGGTGCTTAGGAACTGCCGAATGTGCTTCTGAGAATCCTGTTCTTGGATCCATGCATTTTACGAAGCCACATTTATTTTTACTTGGTTTGAGAACAATTTACAGTATTCCCAAGAACCATGCTGATTGAATTAATGCATTATGCCAAGCTAAATAACTCAAACCAGTTGTAATGGGCAGAAGGAATAACCTTGAGGAATAATCAAAACAACAGTCAGATATAAGAAATCTGAGCCTCTGCCAGAATTGAGAAATCATCTGAAGATAAGATTCTTCTGAGTTCTCACAATAATAAGAAAGGAAGGAGGAAGACATTGCAATATTCTGTTTCTATAACCAATAAAAGTAGTGTTGGCATACATGACTTTAGTTTCCTAATCTGGTGTACCTTGAAGTGCTAACCCCAGTGTGTCTTATGAGTCAGTTTAAATGATCCACATGGGCCAGCCTTGGATAAGAGGAAAATAGGCTATAGTTATATCTTCTTGCTGAATAAAAATTGTCCATAAAGAACTCCAAGTATTTTTATTCTTTTCATCTAGGTGAAATTTGAAAAATTAAGTAGCATTACAATTGGTTAGCATTTAGAGACCACCAAAATACTTTAAGGCTAGACTGTGGAATATTGAAAAAAATCCTTAAAATGGAATAGGAAAGAAAACTGCATGGAATGCTTATTAAGTCAGCAGGAGAACTCAACTTGGAAGAGTATCTTTAAATGATTATTATGCATTGATTATTATTTTTCAGCTTCTAGCGTCTCAGGATTTTATATTTGCTCAAGGTGTAACTTCTTGTTTTGAATCTATTCGGATCAAGAGCAAGGGCAGGAACTATATGTAAGTGAATTTGTTTATTCTAAATTAAAACATTTGTTTCCTGTATGATCTAAGGATACTGTAGCTTGAGATACCATGATAATAGTTTACAATACCTCACAGAAAAACAGACTGAACTCAACCCTCTGTTTGAAGGCCTGTCTATTCCCTGTGAGCCAAGCAAAAAGAAGAGAGGCAGCCTCTCTCCCATCCCATGTATGTCCTATATTGGAGACCATTCACTGTGTCCATAGATTTCTGTGGGAGCTGTTAAAATCCAACCTTATCTTCCAGCTCAGAAGTGGAACCAGAGAGAGATATTAGATACATAAATGAATGGTAATCTCTAGTCTAACAACTGCTATATCACTCAGCACCAGCTTTCTTCAACCAAGTACTTCCTCCAGATGCGTTACATTCTTTTTAAGCTCGATCACTAAGTTACAGATTCAAATATGCTATCTCCAAAACCATGCTTACTCTTTATTTTAAGTCATTTAATGTTTCTCTGAAGCACACGGTCTACTGCATTCCCCCCCCTCCCTTATTTTTTTGAGTCATGTTCTCTTTGTCCATCAACCTGGAAATGTCCTCCCTCAGTATGTCAGATACCAATGCTGGCTCAGAATTATGGGAGTTGTTCCAACAAACGACAAGGAAAGCAGGTTGGGGAAAGGAAGAAAGGAGGGGTCCATGGCCCATCTTTTATTGGGAATCATAGATAACTAGATAAACTGTCTACCATGTCCTCACACCACATATTAACTACTTCCATAGAGTGGAGATAATGGCAGAGAAGGTTTTCTCCTAGACCCTGTTAGTCAGAGTTCCTTGATTGGGAGGGGGTCTGCAACATATATTCCTTGCCTGAGTGGAATGAAGCTGGGTCTGTAGGCAGTCTGGTTCTATTCTATGTAGGGCTTTATAGGTCATAAGCACCATTTTGAATCGAAGCAAACTGGCACCTAATACAGTTCATGGAGTAGAGTGTTAGATGTGCCCTTTGGTGCCCAATTTAGCATTTGATTTCATCCATCCTTGAGAGGAATCTAATAGGTTGGGAGCAAGGCAGTTTTAAGAGATCAGAAACTGAAATATTCTGCACAGATGTATCTTTTCATTTTCTCCTTCCTTTTCTCCATGTAGAGAAAAAAAAGAGGATTCATTTGCCAGAAGGAAAAAAAAAACCCTATTACTGGAATGGCATAATATTTGACAGTAATCCAATGTTTTACATGGATAACAGAAAGGTGATGGACACCTTTGAAATAGGCAGTAAAATAAATAAATGTATCAAGACATACATTTCTTATGTCTCCCAATTCTTAGAATAGAATTGAGCAAACTAATGTTCTTCACGTTTTGGACTACAGTTCTTATGATTCCTTGTAATTTGCTATTTTGGTTGGAGGTGAATGAGAACTGAAATTCAAAATTTTATCAATTTGCCTGACCTCTGAGCTAAAGAATCAGACCCTATCTCTGTTAAGTGTCTTTTAGCAGTAACTCAGGTTTGCAAAAGTGAAATATGCAAAACAGGCAGCTACTCAGTGGGCCGTCTGAGATTTTTTTTGTTTCCCTATCTTATTTGAAAGCCAAATAAAGTTGTTCCTTGTTATTCTATGCTTACAACAATCTTGCAAAAGATTAGAGCAAGAAATTGTATCTTGGTCTGGGATCATCCAGAAATTAGGAATAAGTATGGATAAAAACATGTGTTTGCCCCATCTAGATTCATAACTCTGCCCACTGAAGTTCTACTCATTTTATCTTTACATCTGCTGTGATGATCAATTAAACATTCGTGAAGACTACAAAACATAGCATTCCCAGGTGTGGAGTGAGTTTCCTTTCCCTCTTCCCTTAAAAGTGCAATTAACAACATACCTGCTTTGTCTGATGTCTGATTTGTCCGTCACTGAACAGTATCTTCAACTCTTGTAGGCAAAGACCAATATGGAGAAGACGTGAGGTAGAACGAGACACTGAGCTAGACGTTGAGTTACTTTTGTGCAAAACTGGCAGAGATGGCTTTGGCAACCAGTAAAAATGTGATTCTCACATCTCAGGTGTGTGGAGGTGCCACATACCTATTTGTGCTTCACTTCTCTCTCCCTCCCTCTGTATGTCAAGGTTAACCAGGGACTGAGCCACTCCTGCCTAAAGTAAACATGAGCGAATAGTGGCTGAGCAGGGACAGATTTGAATATTCATGATGAGGGAAATCTAAGCTGAGACCTTTTGCTGCCTTAGAGCAATTCCATTTGATTTTACCTGCGGAGGAGGAGGAGGAGGAGGAGGAGGAGGAGGAGGAGGAGGAGGAGGAGGAGGAGGTGTTTAAGTGGGGGGAGTTAAGTTCCAGAATTTCAGCCTGTTCAATGTTGGGAATGCATCCATGAAGCCTTAAAGGTTTATTTACTGAGTCAAAGTTTTAAAAAGATAAACACTTTACTTCCTTAGGTGGATTATGTTGATAACCACTGGCAATAAATGCATTACTGAATGCACATGCCCACAGAGGCTTAGACTTTATAATTCAAACTAAGTTAACAAGGCAAAATTTAAAACACCTAGATTGTAAAGAATTACACCCTGATAAGTGACTGGTCCTGCAGGGTGCAAATTCTCACATGAGGACACTTATTATTCTACAAGAAGTAAAACCAAGAATTTTCATTCATAATACTGTACACTGTCAACTTACTGAAGATAATTTCCCTCAAGGTCAATTTTTGGTGATCTGGCTAGTTTATTTATTTTTTCCTGCCGGAATCAAATGTGGGAATCAACCACTGAAAAACATGTCAACTATAAAGTTAACTGAAAATTCACAAAAATTCTTCTATGAGTTTTAATCCTCAGAGTCACATATACTATACATATAATTTTATATCACAGTAATCAAACAATAAACGACGTGCGTACTAGTGTTTTTTAAATACTTGTTTTGTGACTTCTAGTTCCAGTTACTGTATTTATTATATTTAGACACTTCTTTTATCCTTATAATCACCCAGCAATATAGGTAGGCAAGTAAATGAAAGATAATGTGTTAGGTATTTATAGTTGCAGCATAATGTGTAAACCTCCTATTGGTCATATTTTTTTAAAATAAACAAAATGTTTGAGGGCAAAATTTAGAGATCACATAGTTCTATTCATGAATTGTTGGAGTAAGAAATATCTTTGAAAAGTTGCATTTAGTATTTCGGGTATTCCAAAAAGCTTTACTGAAGTTTTAAGTTTTTATAATAAAGGCTTCACGGTAAATGGGAAGGGTCTAATTTTATATTAATTCATTTTTAAATAAATATTAAACTGATTTATCACATGGAAAACTTCTTCCTAAAATAATTTTATCACCTGCAGATTTTAAGAAAGAGAGAAAAATTTCCCTTCCAGAGGTATATCTGGATTGCCAAGTGCTTTGCTTCAGTTCATGCTGAGGCTTGGGCCTCTGTAACACTGGGCAAGGTTAACTGGAGTTTTCTTAAAAAAATAATAATGAAATAGTCTTGCCTACTATTACCATGATGTTTGCAAAGCTTTCAACAATTGTGACTATTTGTTATTTATACAGTGTCTCAAAGATACTGGTTCTTTGTGGAACAGTATAAATATACAAATAAAAAATATAGATTTGGGTTTCCAAAGTATTTCCAGTCTAAACTGGACAACAGGGGGAAAAAAACCCCAATTCTTTCCTGGCTAAAATTCCCAGGACGGATAAGTCCAGTAAAAGGTCCTGGTACATGCGGACCAATTTATTCATCTATGTAATCCTCTAAATCCAATTTTGTGGGATACAAAATGTAATTTTCTAGACGTCAAAGCAATATGGGGAGAGCAGGTTGTATACCCACTGAAAAACTAGCAGCTACTAATTCTCAGGTTAATCTACTTTACAAAGAACTCCTTGTTAAAATAAAACAAAATAACTCTTAAACTGACATTTAATTTGATATGAACAGGTGGAACTTCCTGGTTCCAGTTCTTACCAGTGCCAAACAATCTTCTAATGTCTATTTCTTTATCCTTCACTGAAACCAAAGGGTTAACATCTCTAGTTCTTACTAGTTTGGTTCTTTTACATCTATTCTTTTCTTTGGAGGATTAGTCAGACTAGACTCTGGCTCAGGCACTCATCAGACCGGTTTAGACTTCTTTTCTTTTCTTTTTCTTTCTGTGTTGAGGTGAAGGGGAATAATTTGTTCCTTTTCCTGTTCAGCTGCCAACAGCTTCCAGTAATCCAGGTTAGAGACCATTCAGTTGTTTTTCCCAGCGAATCATTATCCCAAAACAGCAAATCTTTCCAAGAGATGAACATTGTACAATATTTAGAGTGGAAAAGAATCTGTAATTGTAATTGTTCATAACTGAATCTATTTCCCATAATTCAAGTTTATATCAGTGCACCATTTTGGGACTGAGTCTTCGTGAAATTCCAAACTCACTTGGTTACCCATTCCTAGTCATAATGAAATCATGACTCTTATAACTTCTAAAACTAGACACAGGGCAAAGATAATGTGAGAACAGTTGGGCTTCCTTCACTCATTTATAACCCACATACTAATTTACTATTTATTTCCAGGTTGGATTTTATTTAAGCATTCTTAAATTTGTGTGCCACTTGAATTTACCCTCATTCCAGACAAATTTAACTCCATTTATGTTCCATTCAAAAGATTGGGGCTTTAATTAAATATAATATTACCAAAATTCTCTAGGCCCTGGACAGTAAGTATGTTTAATGGGTTAAATCCAAACCTTTTAGAGGAGGCCCTTCCAAATCAAGTGGAAGTTCCACTGATTATAAGATATATTTTCTAGGCATGTCTAAGTCCAAACTCAACATCAACAATCTGGAATATATCAATAATTGGCAAAATGTTTTTGTTACTGTAAACTTGTTTTCCACAATCTGATGCCCTAGATATTGTTAGATTAGAGCTTTTAAGAGGCAAAGATTCTATAATCTAATAAATATATAATCTACAGGGGAGCATGCCTGGAGAAAACTGACACATGTCATATAAGGTAATCCATCTTCTCATCACCTGCTTAAAAGTTATAAATAGTAGTGAGATTGTCAGAACATACCTAATTCTCATTCAAATCATTCAGACTCTGGAACATAAAACAATTGCTTATAACAATATTTCTTGTATGTTGTCTAGTAAGTCATTTATGAAAGGTTTATGACCTTCGCTATAAGCAAACACATGGACTGAATGCCAAGCTCTGTAATTTCACCTTTTTATCAAAGGCAGTCTCATTTTAAAATAGTATTACTAAACAAAAGCTGAAAATATTCACAATTCAGTTTAGAAATTTATTATACACTTTGGTGCCAGATATTCTATCATGTACATAAAATATTAGAATTGCTGGACAATTTGACTTGGAGAATAGATGTTTTTACATTGTTTGCTATTACTATTACTAGGTTATGCAACTCCAACATTAACTTTTGGTTGGAAGAAATGGCTAATTTTGAAAAACAAAAATACTGTAAGTTATTTTCCAATGTGACCTTACAGTCCTGCTATCCTTTAAATGACTTGAAGGCAGTCTCATTGTGTAATCATTTCTCACCATCCAAGTAATAAATAGCTGATGTAATGGGCAGCCTTGGTTTGGATTACTATACAACATGAAGGAATTAGACTACTCTATTTTACTTCGAGCTGTCGAATATTCTCTGAACAGGTTTTCTAGGATGGAATAAAGATAATTGTTTAGCGTTAGAGAATTTGCAGATGGGTTTAAAACCTTCAGTCTGCAGGTAATCCTTTTACCACTGGTCATGTCCTTATGCTGAAACGGTTTAAGCATTTCCGATTCATCTACATTAGGGTTCAAATTTGCATGTGCACAATTCGCTCGTACAAAAGTAGCCTCGTCAAAGAATCTGAATCTGTGTGCAAATTTCGAGCGCCACCTGCCGACCACTATCGGTCCCTAACTCCTTTCCTCTGCCCTCACTCGCTGGCCCCCCGCCCTCCTCCCAGCCTCGCCGCTTCTGCTATAAGGGTATTTTTTTCGGTGTGAGTTTCTGCTGGCCAATCATAGAAACGATGCGTGGCCTTGTACAGCTCTCTCGTCTCACTTCCCACAGAAGGCGGGCTCCGCATATTGGAACTTGCATTCGTTATTGGCTACGGCGGAAGAACTCTGTCCTGCGTCTGCTCCGATTGGCTGTCGAGGCGGAAGAGTAGCATCGCGAAGAGAGGCGAGTTCTTTTGGCGGCGGAGGCAATAGAGATTATGCAGGTGGGAAAGAACATGTTAATGATAAGAGGGGGAGTCGGTGGGAAGCAGCACTTGGCTTATTGGGGCGGGGGGTAGACACCTCGTCCTGAGATTGCTTCGCAATCACTCTTTCTAGGCTTGAGAATAATAGAGTTGGAAGGAAGGGACCTTTAGAGGTCCTCTAGCCCAACTCTCATGCAGGAGACCCTATTTTGCACCTATATTAAAACCCCCTTGTTTAATTCTAAAACGAATGCCACGTACTTTCCTCCGTTAATTCTTCTAATTCTAGCTTCCTGGATGCAGTCACCAAGAGTGAATATAACATTTTAGGAAACATTGACTCATAAAACAAATCTTTCAGAAAGTCTAAAGAAGGCTCTCGCTTATTACCTTTGATTTCATTCACGGTTTTTTTTTTTATCTGTAGAGGGAGTCCTCCACTTGGAGGCTCCAAAGCCTTTCCTGTATCTGTTTCAAAGCCACTTTACTTTTTAAAATGGCTATTTTATTGTCTGTGAGAGAGACATCCTGCTTTTATTTATTTTAAAACATCGTACCTTGGAAGCTGCAGATTCTTAAAAGATTTTATTCACATTTGTGTAATACAGTTTGGGTTGTCAACCAAAGTCTCTAAAATGTGCGAACTTCAATCCTCCAAATTGCTGTCTAGGAGAGAATTCTGACTAGGAAATTCTGAGAGTTGAAATCCACCCAACTTAAAGTTGCTGAGGTTGTGAGACACTGGTGTAAGCATGTGGGTTGTTAACGTGGTCACAGAAATCTAAGGCATTTGATAATCTACGCAGTGGATGTAACCTACAACCTTCTTTAGCACATATGAATTTCAAGATATTAAAAATCTATGTATACAGCTATTTAACTAAAGATGTTTCTGTCATAAACTTTGAAGATGTAATTTAGGGTTTTGATTTTGACAAGCACAGAACTGAAGA